TTTTTAATTTATTGTAGAGATGAGGTCTCACTGCCCAGGTGGGTCTCGAACCCACGGGCTCAGGCAATTCACTCACCTCAGCCTCCCAAAGGCGCGGGATTACAGGCTGAGCCACCGAGCCCAGCTGGTATTAATTTCTATTTTTATTCTGCTGTGACCAGAGAAAATGCTTGGTATAATTTTTGTTTTTTGAGATTTATTAAGACTTGCTTTATAACCGGGTATGTGGTTGATCTTAGAATATGTTCCATATGCAGATGAGAAGAATGTACATTATGTAGTTGTTGGATGAAGTGTTCTATAGATGTCTATTTAGTCAAATCAATCGTTAAATTTAAGTCAAGAATTTCTTCGTTGGTTTTCTGCCTCAATGGTCTTTCTAAAGCTGTCAGTGGGGCATTGAAATTCCCCACTATTATTGTGTGGCTAAGTCTTCTCTTAGGTATAATAGTAATTGCTTTATAATTCTGGTTGCTCCAATGTTGGGTGCATACATATTTAGGATAGTTAAGACTCCTTGTTGGATTGAACCCTTTATCACTTATGCAATAAGAATACAATACCCTTCATTGACCTTTGCTTGGTTGTTAGTTTAAAGTCTCTTTTCTCTGATACAAGAACAGCAATCCCTGCTCTTTTGTTTCCCATTTGCATGGTAGATCTTTCTCCATCCCTCTACCTTGAGCCTATGAGTGCTTTTAGAAGTGAGATAAGTATCCAGAAGACAGCAAAAGGTTGTGTCTTTTTAAATCCAGTTTGTGACTCTGTGTCTTCTAAGTGGGGCTTTCAGGCTATTGACATTTAAGGTTACTGTTGCTATATGGGGTTTTATTCCTGTCACATAGTTGTTAGCTAGTTGCCTTTTTGTCTCAGTTTTGTGGTGGGCTTATAAATTTTGTGAGCTATGTGCTTACATGTGCTTTTGTGTTAGGGAATATTGTTCTTTCATTTCCATGTTTAGATCTCTCTCTCTCTCTCTTTTTCTCTCTCTTTGAGTTGGAGTCTCACTCTGTTACCCACACTGGAGTGCAGTGGCCACTCCCAGCCACTGCAGCCTCGACCTGCTGGGCTCCGGCGATCCTTCCGCCTCAGCCTTCCAAGTAGCTGGAACTACAGGTGCGCACTACCACGCCTGGCTAATTTTTTGATTTATTGTGGAGATGAGGTCTCGCCAAGTTGCCCAGGTGGGTCTTGAACCCGCAGGTTCAGGCAGTCCACTCGCCTCAGCCTCCCAGAGTGCGACATTACAGGCTGAGCCATCAAGCCCGGCTTAGATCTCTCTTATGAAATCTCTTGTGGGATCAGTCTGGTGGTGGTAAATTCCCTTAAGCGATTGCTTGTCTGGGTAAGCCTTTATTTCTTCGTTTATGAAGCTTAGTTTGACCAGTTAATAAATTTTTGCCTATCATTTCTTTTCTTTAGAATGCTAAAAATGGGTCTTTTCTGATTGTAAAGTTTCTTCTGATGGATCCACTATTAGATGGGTCTCCCTTGGTCGGTGGTCTGGCTCTTCTCTGTAGCTGCCTTTAAGATTTTTTTCTTTTGCATTGACCTTGGATAATCTGATGGCTGTGTGCCTTGAGGATGATCATCTTGTGTAATATCTTGCAGGAGTTCTGTATAAATTATTTGTATCTGTATGTTGACCTCTCTAGCAAGGATGGGAAAGTTTTCTTGGATTGTGTTTTCAAACACTTTTTCTAGTTTTTTTCCATTCTTTTCTCTCAGGAATGCCAGTCTCTTTACAATATTCCACATTTCTCAGAGTTTATTATTATTCTTTTTTCTTTATTGTTGTCTAACTGGACTGATTGGAAGGATTGGTCTTCAAGCTCTGAAATTCCTTCTTCTGCTGGGTCTAGTCTATTGTTAAGGCTGGCAACTGAATCTTGAAATCCCTGCAATTGATTTTCAATTAAGAAGTTCAGTTGGTTCTTTCTTAGTATGGTCAAGTCCTCTTTCAATTCTTTGATCATTCTGATGGCTTGTTTTGGGGTTTCCACTGACTCTTGGATCTCATTTTCTTTGCCATCTATATTCTGAATTGCGTATCTGTCATTTTGGTTAGGA